AACTTAGGCAAATCCAGAGAGAGATTAAAGGGTCCAAACATGGTCTGACACAGTAGTTTTAAAATGCGCACAGGTTTTAGTCACAAACCAAATTCTCTATTTCCACAGCAGCCACTCGGAGAGATTAGCTTCATCTCTGCAGGATTTTGTGGTTGTTGCTTTGTCCCTGTGCCATGAATGTCTGAGGTTCTGACTAAGACAGAGAAAAGGTGATTGTTGCTCTGACTTATGAAAATGTAAACAAAATAGCACCTTATAGAGGGAAAAGAATGAATAATATAATCCAATAGGATAAAATCTAAAGTTATGTGTCAGTTTAATCTGAAATAGATTTCACTAAATGAAAACTAAGAGAAATTGATTTTCTTTTCCTCCAAAAATATTAATACACATGTATATCATTTAAAACATATAAACAATGAAATCAGCAATTTTCATCCCTTAAGTGTTTAAAATAAATATGGGATGTAGTTTGGGGAAATGCAACTAAAATATATAAAAGCTATGAGTTTATTAACTAAAATTATAGATTTGCAAAAATAGATAATTAATTCCTGAAAGATTTGAATCAAAGTGGCATATTTTCCTAAGAGAGTGAAATAATAATAATAATTTTTTTGGCACATTTAAAACAAGTATGTTTAAAAACAAATAAAACCTAAAACCTGCTTAATGGATTTAAATCAAGGATGATAAAAACAGAAAAAACATCCTAACTTTCAGAATTAGGACTGAAATAGCGCCTGACATAAAGTTATAAATGGCTGGCTTACAGCAGAATAGCAACTGGTTCGCTGTTTATTGAAGGTTTGCATGCAACAATTACGTTTAATCATTTATGTTATGGCCATTTGTTTGTGTTTTGTTTGTCTGTAGTGTCTGTGGATCCACTCTTACTATTGTTCATTTGTGAAATTATAGTTTAGTTATTTTTGTCTTGGTTAAATAGAAATGAGGGAATAATTAGGCATAAACTGTAAATTAAGGACAGTTTTTAGTTTCTGTGGATCATTCTTCCCCTAAGCTGTTTTGAAAACAAAGCAGGAGTTAAATGTGTTAAAGATAACGCACAGCTGTTTAAATTGGTAATGGTAAGGTTCAAATATCACAGCAAATAAAATTTAATGAGACAGATTTTTTTTAAAATGTAATTAAATGAACAGATTTTGCTTGTTTAACAATAATTGGGCATTTCTTCAAATAATCAAGGACCTGTGTCATTATTTAAATGCTAAAGTTTAATTTGTTAACCTTAATTCTTTAAGATTTAGATTAAACTTTAAGGGTAAATACATCTATATGTGTGTAGCACAAATAACTTGTATAAAAATAAATTAGGCTGGTTGAATTTGCTTTTAAATTATTTACAATTCTTTAAGAAGTAAATCTATCTTAAGCTGATCTGGAATAAATATGCACATTTATTTAACATAAGTATTGCTTAATAATTATACGGTGTTCAAATTACTCAATTGGTAATAATGATGATAATAACATTATTTAATAATAATAATAATAACATTAATAATAATGATTATAGTGATAGAGGATATAAATAACAGGATTTAATTCCTACATTAAGTTGAATGGTGGAGGTTTTAAAATGACCTATTCTCAATGAATCCATAGCTCAGATATATCTGGAGGTGTAGTTGAGAACGAGCAGACAGATCACCATCAGACAAACTCTCCAGAGTTTCAAGTATTCAGGCAGGATCAACCTGGGAGGCAGAGAGGAGAAAAACGGGATCAGGTTTGGTTCACAGAAAGTCAGAGTTCACAGACAGGCAGGTTGGCTCAGGCTTGCTAACCGTTACTGGCAAACACTCTGGCACTGGAGTGAAGCCCTCCACCTCCTTAAGTACGGATCTCCTGATGAGCAGATGAGAGACAGGTGG